TGTAGCTTAGTGGACAACGGTCTGGTGTAGAGGACCAATCACAGACTTTGCAATGGGAGCAATGTGCTGTGTGACCGCGGACAAGTGACCTCTTTCAGCCTCAGGTTCTTCATCTGTAAAATGGGGGAAATGATACTTAAGGATAAAGCGCGATCACACGGACCAAGCACCAGGCAAGTGGAAGGCGCATAATCAGTGGAGGCTATTATCATTCCTTTCATTCTGCTGCTCTGCTCATTGACATCTGCTTGGGCAATAGGGGGTGAATATGGCAGCCTACTAACTGCCTAGTATACGAACCCCTCACGACAGAACACGAATAGATTATTTCAGATCAGCCCTAGATTCAGAAGTTGGCCATGCTTATAGTCTTCCAACAGCGTAAGGGTGTCTCTGATCTTGGGCCCTTTGCATTAGATACCAGCGCGTATGAGGTTGTTTCCTCCTGTGATTCAAATCTAGGTTAAATGCTATCTCCTCAGTGAGCTTGACCATCTCTTCTAAAACGCCCAGCGCGATTACATCACCTGCTCTGTTTTCATTATTGACATTTCACATATTGGTATTTGGGATTTTTAGAACATTTGTTTTTTCCTATACTATTTCCTTGCACTGGGCTGTATAGTCCACAGGAACAGGGATCTCTTCAGCCTGATCTCTGTACCTACAGCAGGGCCTTACATATGATAGGTGCTCAATAAATATTTGTTCAAACAATGACTGCACGTTCCACTCAGAATCTGAAGCACAGTCTATTTTAAGATTTACTCTGCTTCATTCCTTCTAACCTCCTGATCTATTTTAGTACCAACTGCCTCATTGCACTGGAAAATAATAAGGCCTTTACTGGTGGTATATTCCATTTCTGTCTTTATGCTGCTTGTTTCTTTTATTGGTGTGGGTCATTTCCTTGTCTTAATACGCGGCTAGCTGCACTGGAGACTTTGCTGCTCATAGTCTGTTCTTTGTCTTGAGTTCGTCCTGTATTTTGCTGGAGAGCGGTTCATTAATTTCCCATTAGAGCCTCTTGAGGCCTCAGCTCCCACGAGATTTTGAATTAAGATTTTTCAACTTTTAACATTTTCTATTCTTTCCCTTTTGTGATTACATTTCTTCTGCATATTTTTATCTCTGTATTTATCATAGTGACACATTTATGGGAGAGAAGCCCTTATTTTGGGGGAGAAGGGGGGAAATGGTATAACGTTAAAGGGCCTGGGGACAGTTTTGCTGTGAGCTGTGGCAGAGAGGCAGAGCAGAGTCAGAGACGGCCACTGATAAGTGAGGGGATATGAGAACAAAGATGGAAAGAGCTGGGTCATCGGTGAGGGGGAGGGGCCAGGGGGTGCTCTGTCATCTCTGCTCCTTTCAGGATGAGAATGTTGCCAAAACTGATTGAAAGGGGTGAAAATGTGAGAGAGGAGAAAGCCATGGCCCCAGGAGCAGGCTCATTCAATTCCCTTAGAAACCAGACTCCACTTTCTGCCAGCCGAGTGAATGAAACCTGCAATCTCATTTCATCGGGTGGCAGGAAACAAGCATTAAGGGTCAGTGTGATACATGGACTCACTTATGGGAAAAGATTTCCTATCAACCTAACTGTGAAGACGTGAGAGCAACTATTTTTTTCACTATAAACATAGAAATTAGAGTTTGTCAAGCAATGGTCCAATCTACAACTTAAAAGTGTTAAAATACAAAACTAAAAATGTCTAAAATTATTCCCATCTGTGGTCTTTGTGAAACAAACATAGTTTTTCAGAACACACTCTGCATGGGCTAACCCAATAGCCTTTATTCAATGTGGATTTTTACCTCACATTTTGGTACTTTAATTTAATTTTGTTGGCCATGAAAAGAAAATCATTTTAGTACTGTTTTTCTTCATTTCTTTGGCAATAGCATGATGTTGTAAAGTATAAAAGGTTCGTAAGTAATAGATTGTACCAATCAAACTTATGAGGCAGCAAAAATTCAGAAGCACTGTATATGCAAAAAATATGAAGATCCACCAAGGATATTGTTAAGGACTAGGAATAATTATGATTTGCTTAATTGGGAGAGAAGGACAATCTTTGTTATAAATTCATGCTCACTGCAGGAACTTTAAAATGATTTGAAGTTTATTTTTCCCCAGAAAAAAAAACATACTTTTTGCGTCTGCAGTGACCTTATGTGCCCTCCAAAGAGTAAACTCACAACTACTCAATACAACAGTAAAACTAAATGTGATATACAATACTTGCTGGATCTCTGGTAGCAGCCGGGGAGGTGATTAGAAATAAAAATAACTGTGAATCAATTTGGTTTCAGTATTTAATCTCAAAGAAAAATTGACCAGAGACTCTTATTGAACCAAACTTAATGACTCAATTACAATTCCTTTTCTTTCCTTAATGGAAAAGAAATAGTAAAGAAGAGGGGAATGGCCAGCCTGTAACACTCACACAGAGGAAGAATAAATTAGATAACCTAAAAGTTACCCAAACACCTGTTTTCATAATAGCATTAAAAGAAACATATCAGAAAGAAGAAATTTCAAGTGTTACAGGCTAGAATGGGAGTCACTATTCCCCTAAGACTCTAAGCACTGTTTGATTTCTCTCTCTCTCTCTCTCTCTCTGAAGATGGAAAGCAGGGGGATAAACCTGTAGTAACAGTTTAAAATTGATGGTGGCCTAGGAGTAAATATGGACAAATTAAAGAAATGTTTAGAAAAGCTAACAATCAACATGAATTGTAAGTTATTAAATTTGAGGCTTAAAGTAGTAGAATTTAAGGATGACTACTAGTATATTGCAGTTGGCTTATAAATATGTATTAAATCAATGAATGAAAAAAGAAAGGTTTATGACTGGGATACTGGATGATGGTGGTGCACTGATTTCTTGAAGGACTTAGTGAGGTCATCCAGATAGGCCCCTTCCCTAGCCTGAGCCCCATCAGAGATACCACTGTGTCAGGTATATTTTTTTTAGAGTTGTGTATAAGTCAGGCACTAGAGCAGGGAGCAAGGCTGACTATTTTTAACAGAAGAGGAAGGGAGGTTAGCAGTTGAATGCTGACAATGAAGATAGAAGACAGTGACGACCAGATGAGCTGATCAAGTCAAAGGTGATGTGTTTTTTATTTGAATACTCAAGATAAAATACAATAAGGAAGAAATCTGGTGAGGAAACTTCTTTTACTTTTAAACCGAGCTAGTAGACAAAAATTTTCCTTTCAAAAGTCAATGATGAAAAGACAAAAACCAGGAGTAGATGGCAGAAGACCAGATGGCAACCTGAGAAGTTAGAGCAGGAGTGAGAGTGGAGGTCACTGAATGCTAGGACATGTCATCAGCGAGGGTGATGTGTAGGCATGAAATATTACAGGCATAGCCAACGCAGATCTGGAGGAAAAAACTACTCTATCCAGTCTATTAAACCATGGTTAAAAAGAATGGAAATTCTATACTCTGTGTGTTGGTTTATGTCTGAAGGCATGTATGTGTGTGTGTAAGAGAGAAAGAGGGAGGACAAGTGAAGACATTGGGCCATGACAACCTGTTTGGATTTCATCAGTGTTTATGATACTCAATTTTCTGATCAGGTTTCATGAGTGTCAAGAGCTAATCTCTTCAAACATGTTCACTTGTATTAGCAACAGAAGTAAAGATAGAAAGCCTTAGAAGGTCAGCCTTTAGAATGTAAATAAAATAATATTAGTACATGGGGAAAATATTCTTTTTGGAGCATAGTGTAATCCTGTTTTTAGTCCTGTTTTGTGCGTATGTATGTGTATACACAAGACTTAATTTTTTTAAGTACTTTGTCATGTCACTTAGTTCCTCTCAAATTGCATGCTCATTTGATTTCAACTTCCTACTTTGTTTCACCTTAAATGTCTTTTTCCTTCCCTACCTGAACCTTATCTTCACAACCCAGCTCAAGTCCTACCCTTTCTACAAGATTTTCTCTTGAGTATGAGTTTACTGACCTTTTCTATCTCTGAATTTAAATCATAGGCAAGTATTTCATACTATGTATCCTCTGTTCTCCTAAGCTCAAGCACAAAATGTTTGCATTCAGGAGGTTGCCAATAAATTACTGTTTGATGAATTAGTGAAGAAAATATAGGTTCAGTCCTCTAGTAATGGAACTTTTGGCTTTCTCCCAGCATTCACTCCATTCCACCCTCACACATCATATAACAGGCACTGGTTGGGTGGGGTTGACCCTCTGCTAGTTCCAGGAATGGGCCTTGATTGCCTAAGCCAGTCTGTATAATTCCATTCTTCTGACTACAGCGATTGGTTCAAGTGTAGACCCACGATCTGACCTGGTTCGATCAGACTGAAGCTTAGCATGTTAGCTAGTCTGTAGTAGGGAGATGTTCTGTCTCCTTATGGATCCTGTGATGTGCAGATGTTATTACTGAAACTGTTGCAATCAGTTTGCTAATGTCAGGGAAGGCAGCCTGAAGGTTAAACCAGGAGAAGGCAAAGCATCACTGAGAATGGGAGTCAGTAGTGTGGTCAAACCATGCTGAAGCCACTACCACTAAAGGAGACTTCAGTCATTTCAGCCAACATACCCTCTTTATAGTTTAAGCCTGGTAAAGAGATTTTCTATTACTAATATGCCTCCCTATTGTTTGTTGAGTTTCCCCTATCTTTTAATCTTCGGGATACAATATGCAATTTGTGTTATTGCAACCTAATTCATTTAGGAAATGCGTAGCAGCAACCTTGGATAGCATTTACTAGCCTAGTAAGATAATTATATATTTTTGATGCCTATGTCGAGTCTAACCAAAGTCATGTTCACAAGTGGTAAAATAATAAAATTGAGAACTGTTTCTACCACAATTTCTGTTCGAGGCAATCAGTGTTCGTATGCATTTAGAATTGATATTGACTTCTTTTATTAATTTATATCAAATATTTCCTGAACATTTCCAAAGATGAGCTTTTGTTTAACATTCTGCAGGGTCTATGGCAATATATTAAATGTAGATACCTTTTCGATGAAACTGAAGAGACCCCAGCAGACATATGGATTTTAGCATCTCTGTTGTGTACATTTCTAAGCAGCACTGCAGCTGGATATAAAGCCGACAGATTTCTGGATGGATCTCACCATCTTCCGGGCTGCAACAGAATGAAAGAGAGAAGCTGTGAACATTCTCAGGATTTCACTTATCAGCCATTTGCCTTAGCTCTGAAAGGAAAAAGTGCTCAATGACGCTTGCTTAAAGCTTTGAGTCTGAAATTTAGGACTTCCTGCTTTCAAACCAATGACCAATATCATAGTTCTTACATAAGTGTCTTTCTGATTAACCGCTCTTAATTTTTTCCCCCCTTTAGCAGCAGATTTCTGCTGGGAGCGTAAAATCATAAATGTTTTAAGTAATTGAAAATATCTGCTATTTTCAATTTAACTGTTGGAACAAAGTCCAAAATATATTTAAACCATAAAAATATCCTAGCTTACAAGGAGAGATTAAAAACTTTTATTTTCAGAGAAACAAATGAAGAGCTATTCAATTGCTAGTGATGAGACTGTTCTTTAATATTAAGACCCTAGCATAATATGATTAGAGAGCCAGATAGGAATTATTTTTATCAAGGGCTTTTGTCTCAGTCTAAGGCATCTTCCTTTATTGTTTGCTATGGTTAATTTATGAGAGGCCAAATGTTTTTAATGAAAAAATAAAATTTTTATGAAAAAAAAGAGAAGTGACAAAGTTCTAATAATTATGCTTACTGATCTAACACTAAATAAACATTCAACTTAGGTTTTAAAATTATTCTAAAGTCCTTGAGACTTTCCCTATTAACAACGATAAAATGTATACATGTGAATACATTAAAACACGGAGCGATCACTTTTATGTTTTTATTAAGAAGAGAGGAGTCAGCTGTCAATAAAACTCTTCCTTTTATATGCAAGTAAATTACCCTGTGTTGAATAAAGGAAACTAAACAAAAGGGATGAAGCTTAGAGACAGATTTGACGCGGAAGAAGCCTACAGGTGAACTCTGTCAATTGTCCTAATGTGTTCTCTTTAGTCCTATCCCTGCTCATTTAAAATGCAATGAAATCTGATGAAATAATGCAGTGTTTGGATTGGATTCCTTTGTAAGTGGGTCAGTGGCAAAATGTGTGGGGTAATTATTAGGGGGAAAAAAATGGAGGCTCAAGTTTTAAGTCCTGGAACCACAGTAAAAGGAATTTGTATTTACGCAGCACTTCACAATGATGGTTTTCATTTTCAATCCTTATTTAGTAAACGAGCCAGAGTGTGTCTAACCTTGGGGCTTATATAACACAAGAGAATGCAACATTCTTTGCTTCAGTACCAGTGACGTGCACAGTCATTCTATGTCTTTCCTGTGTCAGAAAGAACAAAGTGTCTCGAAAGAGCTTATAGGCAAAATATGGCTTTATCTGAAAAACAAAGGACTACTTATTTTCTCATTTGTGTCCCATGGGTCCAGCCCTAGGCCAGCCTTGGAATCAAGTATACCTTTGGTGAAAGTTCCCAGATTTTCTTTCAGAGCTTCCTTCCGTGGGTGCCTTCCACCCTCAGGCAGTTCCTCTCCTTATTTCATAGCATCTCAGCCTTTCAGAATGTCTCTGTGTCCCACCCCCTCACGGCCTTGCTAGACTCCGAAGCAATAATGGGCAGTGGTTTGTGTAATCAAGTCATCCTGTCTATTCCTGCTAATACATTGATTTTGACAGAAAATTTTGAAGACAGTGTCTCATTCCAAAGGCCGGTAGAGGGAAAGGATTTTAAGGCAAGCAGGTCTTTCCTGTGCTGCTTCATAGTCCCAGTCCTAGCTGCCTATTTTCACCTACGCATAACATTGGCCCTGGTGGCTCATACAGAGATTTTTTTAAGACCCTATAATAAATCTGTTGTATGTATTGTACCTTTGATGAGTGGGACAATTAGCGAGCACAGTATCATTCCAAGCCATGGAGTATTCCTATTTTCAGAAGTATAAAATATGTACCTAGTGGCTTAGTTCCAAAAATATGCAAAACTCTTATATAGATGACATCTTATGTAATTTAAAGACATGGCTACCGTATTAACATATCTTCAGAGCCATTATATTTTGTTTATGATTTTATAGCTAGATACAGAGAGATAAAGCAATGTATTAAGTGCTTCTAGTAAAAAGGCAAATCAAAACAGAGATTAAAATGCCTAATTCATAACATTACCTTGGGTGCCACCTCTCTAACGCCTCTGTAACCAATGGTGATGCCAGAAACCGTGGAACCATTTCACCCTTTCTAACCATTATGGGGAGGAACTAAATAGGTGTCACCAGAAATAGAATCCACCAAACAATAATTAATTGCTGCTAAAGTTGCATTACAGATTTCCTCGTTCCTTGAGGAAACAAGATGGCATGTAGGTAGCAGCCGCAACAGCCTCCCGCAAGCACATCAAGATTATAACTGAAATACAGAACCACCGTCACTCAGAGCCTCCTGAGATCTGNACTAAAATACAGAACCACAGTCACTCAGAGCCTCCTGAGATCTGGCTGCACAGAAGCCCCACAACCAGGGAGCTGAAGGAGCATCGAGACCGGGAGGAGGGGCAGAGACGCGGGAGGATCCAGGCGGAATCACAGAGACAGANCCAGGGAGCTGAAGCAGCACCGAGACCGGGAGGAGGGGCAGAGACGCGGGAGGATCCGGGCGGAATCACAGAGACAGAGCCGCGGGCCCACACCCAGTGCCGCGGGTTAAACCCGGAGGGAATCTCAGTGGTGGGGGTTTCCCGGAGGAGGGAGGGGTCCCAGCCCCACAGCAGGCCCCCAGCGCAGGGCTCAAGGGCCGGTAAGAGACATCCCCACAACTCCGGGCTGTGAAACCAGCGGGGACTGTCCCCGAGGGTCGCGGAGGCTGCGGGAGCCCCAGCAGCTCCTCTAAAGGGCCCGGCACGGACTCACTCGGACGCTCCCTCTGAGCCCAGCGCCGGGCAGCAGCCTGAAAGGACCCGGGACACTCGGGGAGGAACTAACCTGCCTGAGATCCGGGCGAGAG